ATCTTCTTCCCACACCTTGCAGGCCATACTACTATTGGAAGGTTGATCAGCAAAAAGCAAAGCATGCAACCTCGAGATTAGGTGACATTGAGGGGTGGATTTTTTTTTTCATTTACAGTGGGGATTGAAAGTTTGGGCACCCCAGCTAAAAATTTGTATTAATGTGCATAAAGAAGCCAAGGAAAGATGAAAAAATCTCCAAAAGGCATCAAATTACAGATTAGACATTCTTATAATATGTCAACAAAAATTAGATTTTATTTCCATCATTTACACTTTCAAAATAACAGAAAACAAAAAAATGGCGTCTGCAAAAGTTTGGGCACCCTGCAGAATTTATAGCATGCACTGCCCCCTTTGCAAAGCTGAGACCTGCCAGTGTCATGGATTGTTCTCAATCACTGTCCGGGAAGACCAGGTGATGTCAATCTCAAAGGTTTTAAATGCCCAGACTCATCTGACCTTGCCCCAACAATCAGCACCATGGGTTCTTCTAAGCAGTTGTCTAGAAAACTGAAACTGAAAATAGTTGACGCTCACAAAGCTGGAGAAGGCTATAAGAAGATAGCAAAGCGTTTTCAGATGTCAATATCCTCTGTTCGGAATGTAATTAAGAAATGGCAGTCATCAGGAACAGTGGAAGTTAAAGCAAGATCTGGAAGACCAAGAAAAATATCAGACAGAACAGCTCGCAGGATTGTGAGAAAAACAATTCAAAACCCACGTTTGACTGCACGATCCCTCCAGAAAGATCTGGCAGACACTGGAGTTGTGGTACACTATTCCACTATAAAGAGATACTTGTACAAATATGGTCTTCATGGAAGAGTCATCAGAAGAAAACCTCTTCTACGTCCTCACCACAAAAATCATTGTTTGAACTTTGCAAATTAACATATAGACAAGCCTGATGCATTTTGGAAACAAGTTCTGTGGACCGATGAGGTTAAAATTGAACTTTTTGGCCGGAATGAGCAAAGGTACGTTTGGAGAAGAAGGGGCACAGAATTTAATGAAAAGAACCTCTGTCCAACTGTTAAGCATGGGGTTGGATCAATCATGCTTTGGGGTTGTGTTGCAGCCAGTGGCACAGGGAACATCTCACGAGTAGAAGGAAAAATGGATTCAATAAAATTTCAGCAAATTTGGGATGGTAACTTGATGCCATCTGTGAAAAAGCTGAAGTTAAACAGAGGATGGCTTCTACAAATGGATAATGATCCTAAACACACCTCGAAATCCACAGGGGATTACATCAAGAGGCATAAACTGAATGTTTTGCCATGGCCTTCACAATCTCCTGACCTCAACATAATTGAAAATCTATGGATAGACCTTAAAAGAGCAGTGCGTGACAGACAGCCCAGAAATCTCAAAGAACTGGAAGATTTTTGTAAGGAAGAATGGGCAAAGATACCTCAACCAAGAATTGAAAGACTCTTGGCTGGCTACAAAAAGCGTTTACAAGCTGTGATACTTGCCAAAGGGGGCAGTACAAGATATTAACTCTGCAGGGTGCCCAAACTTTTGCAGACGCCATTTTTTTGTTTTCTGTTATTTTGAAAGTGTAAATGATGGAAATAAAATCTAACTTTTGTTGACATATTATAAGAATGTCTAATCTGTAATTTGATGCCTTTTGGAGATTTTTTTTTTTTCCATCTTTCCTTGGCTTCTTTATGCACATTAATACAAATTTTTAGCTGGGGTGCCCAAACTTTCGATCCCCACTGTATATTTTTTTAGTCCTGACTTTAAAAGGCATAGATCGAAAATAGACAGAAAATCACTGTATGCTATGTGATCAATATGTAATAACTGCAAACGTTTTATGCAATGTTACATTGTGTTCTGTATTCCAGATTTGATATTCATAGAAAGCCATCAGGTCCTGGTGAATCAGAGCATGTTTACCTGAACGAGGATGGTTTTAAAAGTGGACCTGGAAAAAACATAAAGAAATGGATTTGCAGTAAGAAGTTTTAAGGTCATTCCCCCCAGTACACATAGAGATGATTTGTAAAAAGGCCCAATTACACCCTCAGACCATTTTAACTGCTATGCGGAATTCCAAAAACCAGGACTGTAAATAGCAACCCCCTCCAGTGTGGAGAGCAAGAGATTGAGATTTCCAGGTCTCTAAACCTTTAGCACTGTAATAATCAGTAGGTTTGGGTCTCCAGACTGAATTCCAGAGAAAAAGTTTCTGACGGGAAAACGGCCGCTCCTCTTTCTTTGTCCTTTGAGAATAATTCCAGAAATTGTAAATCACGTAAATAATCCTGTATGAGATATGATTGCAATGTGTATTGGATATGATATGGCTACAAACACATAACAGCAGAAGGTTATAGATAACAGCAAAACAAAAAAAACAAGTATAGGCGTAATTTGCAGATATACCCAACTAGATATAAAACATCAAAGAACACGCTACATAATAAACGTGTTCAAATGGACTATATGGAGATAGCAAGAGCCGGATGAGTATTGGCTGTCATCCCCGAGTATTCACCACTACAGCATTGAAATAGACTTGTGGAAATGCCATAAAATTCATTACCTCCGCCTTCCATACCTGCTGGAAAAGAGGCATTGGTGCTAAATACATTGCAGGGGTGAGGGTTTGGAGTGGAAATAAGAACAAAGGATGGAAATATAAAAAACAAATTGCAAACTGGATTACAAAAGCAATAAAATGGAAATTATAATACCATGTTCAGGGCCGTGGATAAGGGGGGGTACCATCAGTCCTCCTGTATGGGGCCCAAGCCAGCAGGGGGGCCCAAGAAGCTAGGTGAAACCGATGTGGGCAGGGAGGGTGAGCAGTGCGGTGTGGGGGGGCAATTATTGGAACCGCTCCCCTGTATGGCTCTCTCTGATGGCTTTCAAGCTGCTGAAGAGAGCGTCATACAGGGAATTGGTTCCAGTAATTGCCCCTCCCTCACACTGCACTGATCACCCTCCCTGTGCACCATACATTTCCTCCTGCTGCCCTGGCCCCCTTGTGTGCCCCCCAACCCCGCAGTGCTTCTGGCTTCCATCCTCTCCTTTCCACCGTCAAAAGCAAGCACACAACAGGATCCTTCAGGATTGAGGGTGGGGGAAAGGTCCTGTAAATATGTCACATTTACCAGTCCCTTCCTTACCTGAATGAACACAATGAGTGATCGGTACCTATCACTCAGTGTTCATTCATAACTAAAGCATAGTAAACTGTTTTTTTTTTTGGGGGGGTGGGTCCTGTCAGGTTGGTTGTATGGTGCCCTGTGGTTTCTAACAGTAGCCCTGACCATGTTACTGGAAAATAACCCAAGAATGAAGAACTGTGACAAATTCGCCCAGGGGATGATAAAAACAAACATAACACCCCGGTCACAACTGGTGTGACTTGCCATGTGATTTGCCATGCCATATGAGTTGCAAATCGCACAGCAAGTTGCACCCTATTGTCTGCAATTAAAGAGGTCATACCGGTGCAATTTCGACTTGGTCGGAGCCACCCCAATTTCTAAAGTAGTGCATGCACAACTTCAGGTGCGACTTGCATTGACATCCATGTCCTGCAAGTCATCTTACAAGTCGCACTTCAAGCCAGAATTACATCTGACTTTAAAATCGCGCGACTTTTCTGGAAGTTGCACAATTTCAAAGTCTGATCGGTGCGACCAGGGTGTTAAGAACCTGCTCACAGGTGCGATTCCTGTGCAAATGACATGCAGTGTCCCTCACCGCATTAGTGTGAACCCAGTCTTAGAGCCATTTTCATTCTCTACATTGCAAAGAGCTGTTGAAAATGTTGTCTGTGGGTTTTTGATTGTTGTTGTGCGTTGGACAGTCCATTAAAAAACGGGTGCACATGAACACAGAAACCAATATGATTTAACATGGAAGCATTGGACACAAGGCAGCGGACTGAGTTGGTGTAAATAGGCCCCAAAAATATAATGGTTGTAATTTTATACCACTATGAAAAGATGAAAGATAATGATTTCAAATAACTTGGAAAATTAAGTTTGACAATACTGAGATGTTAAAAGCAAATCTTCTGAACGAAATGTGAAAAACAAAAATCAAAGGATTCTAAATGTCTGTGATTTATAAAATAAAATGAAAAATATATTTTAATATACATAAATATACAGTGTTGGTGTTGTGTGTATACATCATATAAGTATAATAAGCATTTAAAGCGGAGCTCCACCTAAAGGGGACTTTTCGCTTTAAAGACTGATCCTCCGCTCACCGTTAATGATTGGCACCTTTGGGGAGCGGGTACCTAAAACTGACAGACTACGGGGCCATTCACAAAGCGCAGCGCTACTCGCACATGTGCAGTGGGCACCCGGCTCTGAAGCCACAAGCTGTCACAGCCGGGTGCCCACACTGAAGATGCTGGCGTCAGGAACATCGGACGGACAGTGAAACGGGCTGCGGGGAGGACACCACGGGGTCATGGGACAGGTAAGTGGCTGTTTTTTAAAATTCAGCAGCTACAGTTTTTGCAGCTGCTGACTTTTATTTTTTTACAGTGCAACTGGAACTCCGCATTGAGGGTAAATTTGAGCCTGTGGCAAGTTTTTAGCCCTGGTTCACACTTGGTGGGCTGGTTGCAGGTGCGGGAATCGCATCTATTCCCGCAACCACCAACAGCCAAATCGCTCTGCTCTTATGAGACTCGCAGGGGGCTGCCATTCAATTTGAATGGCAACCCCATGCATCTCAGCCCACAATGCGTTTGTGAGTGCAGGAACCGCAGGGAAATTTTATGTTCAAAAAGACCTTGAGGTTTCCCTGAGTCCGTGTTTATAAAAGAAGGTGCATGTACCTTATTTGTGCGGGAAACTTGGGCACAACAGCCCATTCAAATGAATGGGCTGCCATGCCCGAGCAAACACGGGCCCAAAATAGTGTGAGCCGAACCTTAAAGTGTTACTAAACCGCGGACCCTACATTCACTATATCGGGTCTCCCCGGACCCTGCATTCACTATATCGGGTCTCCCCGGACCCTGCATTCACTATATCCCGCTCTCCCCGGACCCCGCATTCACTATATCCGGTCTCCCCGGACCCTGCATTCACTATATCCGCTCTCCCCAGACCCTGTATTCACTATATCCGGTCTCCCCAGACCCTGCATTCACTATATCCACTCTCCCCGGACCCTGCATTCACTATATCCGCTCTCGCCGGACCCCGTATTGACTATATCTGGTCTCCCCGGACCCAGCATTCACTATATCCTGTCTCCCTGGACCCTGAATTCACTATATCTGGTGTCCCTGGACCCTGCATTCACTATATCCGGTCTCCCCGGACCCTGAATTCACTATATCTGGTGTCCCTGGACCCTGCATTCACTATATCCTGTCTCCCCGGACCCTGCATTCACTATATCCGCTCTCCCCGGACCCTGCATTCACTATATCCGCTCTCCCTGGACCCTGCATTCACTATATCCGCTCTCCTCAGACCCTGCATTCACTATATCCGCTCTCCCCAGACCCTGCATTCACTATATCTGCTCTCCCCAGACCCTGCATTCACTATATCTGCTCTCCCCGGACCCTGCATTCACTATATCCGGTCTCCTCTGACCCTGCATTCACTATATCCGGTCTCCCCGGACCCTGCATTCACTATATCCGGTCTCCCCGGACCCTGCATTCACTATATCCGCTCTCCTCGGACACTGCATTCACTATATCCGCTCTCCCCGGACCCTGCATTCACTATATCTGCTCTCCCCGGACCCTGCATTCACTATATCTGGTCTCCCTGGACCCTGCATTCACTATATCCGGTCTCCCCGCACCCGGCATTCACTATATCTCCCACAGTACACAGAACATGGAAATGCAATTATTTTAGTAAATATAAACTGCTAAATACCTTTTCTCACCAGCAGTTAGAGCGGTCTTGTGACGTCTATCAGTGTCCAGAACAGCACTGGTTACTCTTGTAGGAGGAGTTTTCTTTCTGCTCTAGGAGGATGCAGAACCACTGACCTTCTGCCTGGACAGTGCTGTTTGGCTCTTTGCTGATCACATGCACTCTCCCAAGAAAAAAAAAAACATCTCTAGCAATACACACTAAACTGAGCATGTGCATGTGACTACGGATTCAGTCAGTATAAGGTGGTAATTTCACCAAGGGGAGGATCAGAAAAGACAGGATCAAACAGCCTTTTTACACAATGCGGAGGATTAACCCTTTAGGTCCCACAGTGAGTATAACAAGCATGCTTTACTGCATCTACAGACTGATTGTACCGTTGTGGGTTTAGTAACACTTTAAACTTCTACATAGACAACTTTCCCAATTTCAAATACTTTGGAGCAATAGAAGAAAACATACATAGAAAAATACATAAAGAACAGCCATGTGGCTGCAATACGGGAAGAAGGAGAACAGAAATTAAATTTTATATCTAAAAAGAGGAAAATTTGGGAATAGATGATTAAATGGTTACTACACAACAAGAGTTAATCTTGGGGACCGAAATGATGGCACCTTGTGAAAGCGAACTGCCACACAGAACCCCATTAGAAACAGACTTTCTAAGGTTAATTTACTAAAAGCAAATACTGTGCTAATCCAGAGCTTAGTAAATGAAGGGAAGCTCTGCTGACTTCCATCATCCAATCATCTGCAAGCAAAAATGCTGTTTTTTATTTTTGAAGGTTAGGAAGAAGAAACCACATGCAGTATGTATGTTTAGCAAGTTTGCACATATATCTGTCTCAGATGTTAAACACATTTGTTAAGTGTTCCTGCATGGCGACCACTTCCTGTTATCTCACATATACATTCTTATTATTATAGCAAATTTCCCACCCTAACTCCTCCCACAGTTTTTACACTACATAGATAGTAATATACGGAAACGTGCGGATTGTTCCCGATTGGTGTGCTATTACTTTGTGGAACGTTTCGCCGAATGGTTCAGGAAATATCGGCATTTTTGTGGTGAAATTGGTCCCATAGTAATGAATGGCGGAATGTTCAATACTAGAGTTGGAGCTGACAAAAGCTAGAGTGTGAGCTGAAAAATCAGGACATGATTTCTAAACTGCCATCACTCCCTCATTTTCAAGCCCACCGACACAAATCTTATATCAAAATGTTCAGCTATCCCTGCTGCCACTAAAAATGTCCACGGCTAAGCCATAGTCCTGATAGTTTTCACAATATGACCATTTGTTTGCAACTCACGCTGCCCATTGACATTCATTGAAACTCCACTCTAGCCACCTGAAATTTGAAGGGTAATCTCTAAACTGCGACTGTGCCTTTATTTTTAATATTGCAGAAACATACTATGCATCAAAATGTAGGTCTGGGTCTTGTGATTCTCACAATATAAAGCTCTTCCGTGTAGGATTTATAAATTTAAAACTACAACCGTTTGAAAATGGCAACCGCCAGTGAAGTGAGCAAGTTGGAGCAGTTTTTTTTTAACAGCTCCTCTGCCCTTGCTGTAGAGTGAGTTGCCATAGGAACCCAGGTGTGTGAGCAGCCAGCAGAGTGATAAAAGCTACTCCACCCACTCCAGTTGTAGACTATTGGTGGAGGCAAGAACACTTCACACAATTTCCCCAGAAATTGTAGCTTTTCTAGTTATTATTACCACTCTTATGTTGGAATTGCAGCACAGATATAATGTGAAAAGAGGAGATTTCCCAAACATTTGATTAAATAAAGGATAGGCTCACCTTTGGGAACATGTGAGATGTTCCACCCGTTCCTAGGGTGGAACATGTAACATACTTACATAGTTAGTCTGGCTGAAAAAAGACAAAAGTCCATCCAGTTCAACCATTAAAAAAAAAAAAGTTATAATCCTCCACCCACAGCTGATCCAGAGGAAGGCAAAAAAAACCCAGCAAAGCACGATCCAATTTGCTCCTGCAGGGAAAAAATTCCTTCCTGATCCCCCGAGAGGCAATCGGATATTCCCTGGATCAACTTTCCATATAAATGTTATATCCAGTTATATTCTGTGTATCCAAGAAAGAATCCAGGACTTTCCTACAGCAATCCACTGAGCTGGCCAGAACCAACTCTTGAGGGAGTCTATTCTACATTTTTACAGCTCTTACTGTGAAGAAACCTTTCCGTATTTGGAGACTAAATCTTTTTTCCTCCAGACGTAAAGAGCGCCCCCTTGTCCTCTGTGATGACCTCAGGGAGAATAACTCTACACCGAGTTCACTATATGAACCACTGATGTATTTGCACATGGAGATCATATCCCCCCTTATGTATTATACATGGAGATCATATCCCTCTTATGTATTATACATGGTGATCATATCCACCCTTATGTATTATACATGGAGATCCCTCATATTCCCCCTTATGTATTATACATGGTGATCATATCCCTCCTTATGTATTATACATGGAGATCATATCCCCCTTATGTATTATACATGGTGATCATATCCCCCCTTATGTATTATACATGGAGATCATATCCCCCCTTATGTATTATACATGGAGATCATATCCCCCCTTATGTATTATACATGGAGATCATATCCCCCCTTATGTATTATACATGGAGATCATATCCCCCCCCTTATGTATTATACATGGAGATCATATCCCCCCCTTATGTATTATACATGGAGATCATATCCCCCCTTATGTATTATACATGGAGATCATATCCCCCCTTATGTATTATACATGGTGATCATATCCCCCCTTATGTATTATACATGGAGATCATATCCCCCTTATGTATTATACATGGAGATCATATCCCCCCTTATGTATTATACATGGAGATCATATCCCCCCTTATGTATTATACATGGAGATCATATCCCCCTTATGTATTATACATGGAGATCATATCCCCCCCTTATGTATTATACATGGAGATCATATCCCCCCTTATGTATTATACATGGAGATCATATCCCCCCTTATGTATTATACATGGTGATCATATCCCCCTTATGTATTATACATGGAGATCATATCCCCCCTTATGTATTATACATGGAGATCATATCCCCCCTTATGTATTATACATGGAGATCATATCCCCCTTATGTATTATACATGGTGATCATATCCCCCCCTTATGTATTATACATGGAGATCATATCCCCCTTATGTATTATACATGGAGATCATATCCCCCCTTATGTATTATACATGGTGATCATACCCCCCCCCTTATGTATTATACATGGAGATCATATCCCCCTTATGTATTATACATGGAGATCATATCCCCCTTATGTATTATACATGGTGATCATATCCCCCTTATGTATTATACATGGAGATCATATCCCGTTTATGTATTTATACATGTGATCATATCCCCCTTATGTATTATACATGGAGATCATACCCCCCCTTATGTATTATACATGGTGATCATATCCCCCTTATGTATTATACATGGTGATCATATCCCCCCTTATGTATTATACATGGAGATCATATCCCCCCTTATGTATTATACATGGAGATCATATCCCCCTTATGTATTATACATGGTGATCATATATCCCCCTTATGTATTATACATGGTGATCATATCCCCCCTTATGTATTATACATGGAGATCATATCCCCCTTATGTATTATACATGGTGATCATATCCCCCCTTATGTATTATACATGGTGATCATATCCCCCCTTATGTATTATACATGGAGATCATATCCCCCCCTTATGTATTATACATGGAGATCATATCCCTCCTTATGTATTATACATGGAGATCATATCCCCCCCTTATGTATTATACATGGAGATCATATCCCCCCTTATGTATTATACATGGAGATCATATCCCCCCTTATGTATTATACATGGAGATCATATCCCCCCTTATGTATTATACATGGTGATCATATCCCCCCTTATGTATTATACATGGTGATCATACCCCCCTTATGTATTATACATGGAGATCATATCCCCCCTTATGTATTATACATGGTGATCATATCCCCCTTATGTATTATACATAGAGATCATATCCCCCCTTATGTATTATACATGGAGATCATATCCCCCTTATGTATTATACATGGTGATCATATCCCCCTTATGTATTATACATGGAGATCATATCCCCCCTTATGTATTATACATGGAGATCATATCCCCCTTATGTATTATACATGGAGATCATACCCCCCCTTATGTATTATACATGGAGATCATATCCCCCCCTTATGTATTATACATGGAGATCATATCCCCCCTTATGTATTATTATACATGGAGATCATATCCCCCCTTAATCTCCTCTTCTCAGTAGAGAATACATTCAGTTCCTCTAATCTTTCCTCATAGCTGATCTTCTCCATGCCTCGTATCAGTTTGGTTGCCCTTCTCTGTACTTTCTCCAGTTCCCCAATGTTCTTTTTGTGAATTGGTGCCCAAAACTGAACTGCATATTCCAGTAACATGTTCCCAATCATGCAGCCGCCACCTGCCGCCCTCCTCCGACAGATAATATGGGGAGAAGTTCCCCCTGTACAATCTGTCAGATTTGAAAACAGCGTGGCCATGCAGGGCTCTGTCCACACGGCCGCGTAACTCATT